ACAAAAGAAAGAACGTGGCAGGCAGGGCAGGGTCCAGTAGAACACAGGAGACCCTGCAGCACAAGCTGAAGGTGCCCACTTTTGCCAAACTACAGTTCCCAGCGTTCTCCTGGATACGGACATTTCCCAGAAGCCTTTGTATTCCTCGTTAAAAAGTGAGGGTCCTAGGACCCCACTCTCTCTCTCTTCTTCTCTCTTCTCCTTTCTCCCCCCCCCGCCTTTCCTACTGTGTTGGCACACCCTCACCTGCCTGTTAGCCCTCCCCCATTAAAGTGCACCCACGTGGGACCACCGCGTGTCTGTGTCTTTTCCTCGCGTAACCGTCTTTGCCCTCTAACCTGCAGACAGACAGAAATTAAGAACAACACCCACGATCCCTTGCTGGGGGACCTTGAGGCCTGCCCAGTAGGCAGGCACTCACCGCTCTGGGTGGGTAACCTTAGTGTAGGAGCGGAAAACTGTTCTTGAATAAAAGACCTAGCAGACAGCAGGGCAGGCTTGGGGGGGGGGGGGCTGGGTCATGTGTAATAATCAAACTGAGGGCTGAAATCAACAAAATAGAAACACAGAAAACAATCCAAAGAATCAATGGAACAAAAAGCTGGTTCTTGGAGAAAATCAACAAAATTGATAAACCCCTATCCAAACTAATCAAACGTCAGAAAGAGAATATACAAATTAACAAGATCAGAAACGAAAAAGGGAGACATAACCACAGACACAGAGGAAATTCAGAGAATCATTAGCTCTTACTACAAAAGCCTGTATGCCACAAAATTGGAAAATGTAAAAGAAATGGACACTTTTTTAGATAAATACCATATACCAAAGTTAAACCAGGACCAGGTGAACAATCTAAATAGACCTGTTAGTCACGAAGAATTAGAAACTGTTATCAAAAACCTCCCTACCAAAAAAAAAAGCCCAGGTCCAGACGATTTCAATGCAGAATTCTACCAGAACTTCCAAGAAGACCTAATACCTATACCCCTTAAGGTATTTCACAATATAGAAACAGAAGAGTCATTGCCAAATTCCTTTTATGAAGCTACAGTTACCCTGATACCAAAACCACACAAAGACTCAACCAAGAAAGAGAATTACAGGCCAATCTCACTCATGAACATCGATGTGAAAATCCTCAATAAAATACTGGCAAACTGAATCCAAGAACACATTAGAAAAATTATCCTTTATGATCAAGTAGGCTTCATCCCAGGGATGCAGGGCTGGTTCAACATATGAAAATCTATCAATGTAATCCATCATATAAATAAACTGAAAGAAAAAAACTGTATGATCATTTCATTAGATGCTGAAAAAGCATTAGACAAAATTCCACATCCCTTTATGATAAAGGTCTTGGAGAGATTAGGGATACAAGGGTCATACCTAACTATAATAAAAGCTATTTATAGCAAGTCAACAGCTAACATCAAATTAAATGGAGAGAAACTCAAAGCCATTCCACTAAAATCAGGAACACTACAAGGCTGTCCACTCTCTCCATGCCTCTTCAATATAGTGCTTGAAGTTCTAGCAATAGCAATAAGACAACATAAGGGGATCAAAGGGATTCGAATTGAAAAGGAAGAAGTTAAACTTTCATTATTTGCAGATGATATGATAGTGTACATAAGCGACCCCCAAAACTCCACCAAAGAACTCCTACAGCTGATGAACACCTTTAGTAATGTGGCAGGATACAAGATCAATTCCAAAAAATCAGTTTCCCTCCCATACACAAAGGATAAGGAAGCAGAGAGGGAAATCAGAGAAGCATCACCTTTCACGATAGCCACAAACAGCATAAAATATCTTGGAGTAACTCTAACCAAGGAAGTAAAGGATCTATTTAACAAGAACTTTAAGTCTTTGTAGAAAGAAATTGAGGAGGATACCAGAAAATGGAAGGATCTCCCTTGCTCTTGGATTGGGAGGATCAACATCCTCCCAATGGATGTTGGTAAAAATGGCGATTCTACCAAGGGCAATCTATAGATTCAACTCAATCCCCATTAAAACCCTATCAAAATTCTTCACAGATCTTGAGAGTACATTAAACAACTTTATATGGAAAAACAAAAAAACATGGATAGCCAAAACAATCTTATACAATAAAGGAACTTCTGGAGGCATTACCATCCCTGACTTCAAACTCTATTACAGAGCTTCAGTATTGAAAACAGCTCAGTATTGGCATAAAAACAGAGAAGTCGATCAATGGAATCGAGTAGAAGACCTGGATTTTAACCCACAAACCTATGAACACCCAAGTTTTGATAAAGGAGCTAAAAGTATTCAAAGGAAGAAAGAAAGCATCTTCAACAAATGGTGCTGGCAGAACTGGTTGTCAACCTGTAGAAGAATGAAAATAGACCCATATCTATCGCCATGCACAAAACTCAAGTCCAAATGGATTAAAGACCTCAATATCAGCCCGAACACACTGAACCTGATAGAAGAGAAAGTGGGAAGTACTCTACAACATATGGGCACAGGAGATCACTTCCTACGTATATCCCCAGCAGCACAGACATTAAGGACAACATGGAATAAATGGGACCTCCTGAAACTGAGAAGCTTCTGTAAAGCAAAGGACACTGTCACTAAGACAAAAAGGCAACCCGCTGTCTGGGAGAAGATCTTCACCAACCCTGCAACAGACAAAGGTCTGATCTCCAAAATATATAAAGAACTCACGAAACTAGACTTTAAAATGCTAATTAACCCAATTGAGGGTTACTTTGATCCTTTCCAGGGACTGAATCAAAGCACCAGGAACTGAGTCAACACCTGAGGGTTATCTTGCCCCTATTCAATAACTGAGTTCTATTTGGAGAACATTCACAAAGACTCTGGGAGATGGAAAGTTCCAAACATTTCAGTGCGTGCATGTATAGTTGTTAGGTCCTTGGTTCCCAGGGGATGGGGGAGCACTACTGCTAAGAGGCCTCAGAAATGGCCTCAGAGTTGTCTTAAAGTTCTAAAGAATGAAATATATATTTCACTGGGCATATACACAGAGGTCCTGTACCCCACAATAGAGATATTTGCACCCCCATGAATACTGCTGCTCTATTCAATATATAAGGAGATGGAGCCAATCTAGATGTCCATCAACAGATAAATGCATAATGGAAGTCTAGTGCATATACCAAATGAAATATTATTCATATCTAGAGAAAAGTGAAACCACAAAATTTAAGGAAAGTTGGTAGACTTAGTTTGTATATAGTTAAATGAGATCACCCAATATCAGGGGGAAACACATGTTCTTTCTTGTATGTGGATCCTAGCCTATGATGTATGCATGTACACAGTAATTAAATATGCAGAGGTACAGTACAACATGAAGAAGGAGAACATGAAATTTTAAAGAGACAAAACACTCCCTGATGAATTCACATGCATGCTGTACTTTGTGGGTCCTCTGAATGCTCTCTCAACATGTGCACGGTTCAGATGTAAAACAGGCCCTTAACAAGCAATATCCACATGTGCTCTATGCTGCCACCTTACTGGGAGGACCATGTTTGAAGGTATGGTTTTCATCCTTTAAATGTCTCTGTAAAATGCAATTCAAATAAGTACTACCAACTTAGGTACATAGTACTCTAAACAATATTTCTAACTATAAAAACTGAGGAGTGTAAAGGCTGTCCAAAGTATGCTTAAATCATCATAACTGGAAATTTTTGAACTCCTGGTAATGCCGACTTACTGGCCCAGAGTCTCAAAACTAGCAAAACCAAAAATTACCAACACTGAGAAGCTGACATGATTTGGTTTGCTTTGACTTTCATCTTATTTTGTGCTCTAGTTCTAAAATGTGGTTTTATGAGTGGATGAATGTGCTTCTCTTTGAAACTTAAAAGTCATAACAAAGCTATTTTAGAGTGAGCAAAGGACTTGGATATTTCTGCCCCAGAGCGAGATGTACAGAAAGCTAATGCACACCCTGGAAGGGGTTCAACCATCAGCCTTCGGGGAAATGCAGTTCAAAGTGGCAGTGTGTCTCACCTCAGCTGTTATAGTCTCCAGCAAAAGAAGCTGCATACTGGGACCTTCCCTGGGAAACTTGGTGCCCAGCTCCACTACAGCCTTTGGAGCTTGGCTACCATCCTTGTGACAGCACAGACATGAGCTGCAGGTCTCCTCATGGACACCAGGGGGGGACAAGAAACCACATAATCAACAGGGAAGCTGAAACTGAACATGTCTTGGAGCCTTGTCTCCATCCCAGTTCCAACAGACCTGGAGCTCCCTCACATAATCATTTCCTGTGTCTCTGAGAGCCCAGCTCTACAAGGAGACCCCATGTAGTCCCCTCCCCCTCAGAACACCCATGAGGAAAGATGGGAAGTTCACAGGGCAGTCACCAAGAGAACAAAGGCATCCCAGAAGGGTCAGGGAGGCATGGGCAGACCTGAATCACATTCAGACAACACAGGAAGCTGGGGGGAGTGGTGTCTCTCTGGGGACCTCCATAGGGAGCTGGAGTACACAGTCCTCTTTTTAGGACACAGGTCATCTCCTCCTGTACTCCAGGATGTGAACCCCAGAGATAACTTGAATCTGTGAATCAGCAGTGACCATCGATCTGGTTCCTTCCCAGTTGTCACTCAGACCTTTTCCAGCCCCTAGAGATAACTGCCACTCCCTCCCGGAGTAGCTCCCACTTTCTCAGAGCATTGAGATACAGGGCAGACTAGACTCTGGTGGATTTTTATGTCACAAGAAAATACACTCTTGGCTATAGGAAGTGCAGGGACAAGCCCCTTGGGTGAGCTGCTGTTCTCTCGGGCACAGGACACTTCTCAACTTTGTGGCTCAAAGTATGTCTAGAACACTGAACCAGAAAGAAAGGAATAAAAGGATGGGGGGCAGCACTGACACACAGACTCCACCCCAGCCCATGTGACTCCAGGAGGCGTCCTCCTCTGAGAGGAGGCTCAGGTCTGAGAATAAAAGCAGAGCAGACACCAGGGCAGGCAGATTTGACAGCAGCCTGAGAGGCAAACCTCCTCTCCAGAGGAAGACCTAGGCCACAGCAGAGACCATGGAGCTCTCCTCAGCCCCTCTCCACAAAGGGCAGCTACCCTGGAGGGGACTCCTGCTGACAGGTGAGGAGACATTTCTCAGGGGTGTGGAGAGCAGGGGAGCTCAGGGACTGGATGGGGTCTTCTGGGAGGGGGACAGTGCCTGAGAAGAGACATCTGGCTTCTGCTTGAAGCCTGAGAGCAATAGGAAGCTCCCAGTGAATGTGAATTGGTAAGTGGGGAGGAAAACTCAGGGGTTCCCCACTGCAAGTTTATCAGCACTGGCCTCTGTACCCTGAAGACTGACTCCCACAACTGTGTCAGGGTGACTCTCCAAGTAAAACTCAAACTGGGGCCAGTAAACAGGGTCATTTCATATATACGACCATGAGGAATCTGCACATAAACCCCAGGCTCTGGGACAGTGATTTGCTCACAGGTGTCTGAACCTGTTCCAGGCAGTGGGGTTTAAACCAAAATCAAACCAGTTCTCCTCACATAGTCCTGGGCAGGAAGACAGAGCAGCAAGGAAATCTAGAAGGTGGGGTTGGGGTTGACAAGGACTTCAGAAGAAACAGCTGGAAAGGTCAGAAAATGAAGGCTGGAGTCTTTAGAGAAGGAGGTCAGAGAAGACATGCCTACACTCACCAAAGATTCTGAGTGTGAGCAGGGATCTGAGGGAGTGAGGGGTTTGCTGTGCAGACACCCAAGAAAACAGTTTAATTCAGTGGAAATATTCAGGGGTACTGAGGAATGGGGGTGATGCTGCTGACCTCCCACAATACGACAATAAGACACATACACCAAGGCTGAGAGTTGAACACACTCAGGTCTCAATTTCTACCAAATGCAAAGAACTATTATTGATAGATTTTTCTCTCTTCCCTCTTAGCCTCACTTTTGATCTACTGGAGCTCTCCCACCACAGCCCAAGTCACTGTGGAAGCAGTTCCACCCCATGTTGCTGAAGGCGCGAATGTTCTTCTACTTGTTCACAATCTGACAGAGACACCCCTAGTCTTTTACTGGTACAAGGGAGAAAATCCGGATAACAGTAACGAAATTGCACGTTTTATACCGTCAGCTAATGTAAATACAGCAGGACCTGCATACAGTGGCAGAGAGACAATATACCCTAATGGATCCCTGCTCTTCGAGAACGTCACTCAGAAAGACACTGGAGCCTACACGTTGCAAATGCTAATGCAAAGCTTTGATACTACGAAAGTATCCGTGCAGTTCCATGTCCACCGTAAGTAATTCTCTGTAATCTCTGGGTCATGGGTGAACCTAATCCTACTTCACACATAGAATTGTCAGTGCTGGATGACTGTGTTATGGTCCCCACATTGTGGTTCATCATTTAGTAAAGGACACGGAGTGGAGGAAACAGCAATAAATCAGGATCCCTCACTTGAATCCACGCTCAGAGTGGGGTGAGGTAACTCAGCCCAGGAATGTCAGACTCTGCCCAGGGTCTTAGATGCTCACCATGAACATGGCCTTGAGAAGACCCTTCAGTACTCAGGCAGGGCCTGGTTGAGGAAACCATGAGATTTTCACAGAGACATGAACACCAGATTTGTTTCTGACCTCCTTCCCAGACTGGTCCAGGAATGCTGAGAAGCTTATAGACTGGGTTTGAACTTGACCTCCTGTTGGAGCTGACAGGAGACAATGATTGATTGTAGGCTGGTAGCCTGCTGACCGTCAGCCTGTGAGAGCCATGTCTGAGGCAGGTCACCTGGGCATCCTATCCTGAGACTCAGTGTGCTCAGCATAGGTGGAGGGGTATGAAAGACAACCAGCTGGCTGTCCTGATGGTCTTCTGAGACCTCGCAGGAGGGTGGAGAGCCCTAAAGAGATGGGAGAAAAGTGTACAAATGGCAGTTCCCTGCCTCCAGTGGTCCAGCCCTGGGATTATTTCCTGCAAATAGTAAGAGACACTGCTTGGTGGAAGGTCAGGCCATTGCTCACATTTCAGGTTATCTTGCAGGCAACGATCATTTACTCTGTGCCCTATTCTAGGGAAACTGAGACAGGAAACACAGTCACTGAGTCAGGGTCGCACAGGCCATGGGTGGCACAAGCTATCTGTCAACAGCCACATCTCCAGCCTCCCCACCATGGAGACTCTGTTAGGTACCCCTGAATCTTATAGATCATTTCCTATACTTGGGCTTCTTGTAGGGATTCCTGATTCATGTCAATCTACATCAAACTCCAGACACCTGACAAGAATGGCCCAGCTGAAGCCCATCCTGACCTGAATGGCAGCCAGATCCTGATCTGTGTGCGATCTCTGACAGGCTGTCAGGTTCTCAGGGAAGCTCAATGGGAAGACCAATCATGACCTTTCTGTAGGAAAGCCCTGGGCAGCAAAGACTTGCAGGGCGCTGGTCGTCATTGAGCAGTGGAGGTCAGGGCAGCTGGAAGGTCTCACACATTGTGTCCCAAGACATGCAATGGTGTCAGTGAGGACCAGGAGATAACATGAGGTCTCTGATTCCAAGTCTTGAGTCTGTCCATCACCACACACTCCAGCTCAATTCCCTCCTGGTAAAGCCCTTCCTTCTCCCATACACAGCACAGGAGGCCCCATAGTCTCTGAGAGCTCAGCTACTCCATCTGCCTGTAATTTGTTTCCTGCCTGATTCTTTGAGAATGGGGGTTTGAAGGGGAGATAGGAGACAATCTCTGTTGAAAGAGGTCCTTGCAAGAATCAGAGGCACCACTCAGGGCAACCTTCTCTCTGTTGTCTGCACACACAGCACCGCTACCCAAACCCAGCATCACAAGCAACAATTCCAATCCCATGGAGGGTGAGGACTCAGTAGTATTAATGTGTGAGCCTGAGACAGAGACTACAAGCTACCTGTGGAGGAGAAATGGCCAAAGCCTCTCAGAAGGTGACAGGCTGAAGCTGTCTGAGGACAACAGGACTCTCACTTTACTCAGTGTTGTGAGGAATGACACAGGAGATTATGAGTGTGAAACCCGGAACCCAGTGAGCATCTCCCGAAGTGACCCATTCACTCTGAACATTACCTGTGAGTATTACCTGTTTTATAATTTTTACAGTTGCCTAAATACAGACAGTTTGAGCTAGGACACTCTGTCCCCTGGGTTGGTGACATAGACCCATCACACAGATCCCTAGGCTGACCAGGGCTTCCTGACCCAGCACATGTACATGCAGCCAGGCTCAGCATTGAGCTGGAATGGACTTGAGGGACTTCTCCTACCTAGAGAGACTCAGGGTGTTGGAGACGGGGACAGCCCAGCCTCAGACTCAGTGCACACATGAGTGTGCAGTGGGGATGTTTGTGTGCTGTGCTCGAGATGGATCAGGGCTTGTGCTTGCTGCATTAATACTCTTCTACTAATCTGCACCCCAGCTCTGGGTGGGGCCTGCTCAGCTGAGGTTATAATAAAAGTCAGAGAGATACTATGGCCTTCTGTTGACCAGGATTGCCTTCCCTCTGCTGACATCACATGTGCCTTTGTTCTGTTTGCTCCAGATGGTCCAGATGTCCCGATCATATCCCCCACAGATACTCATTTTCATTTAAGGACAAACCTCAGCCTCTCCTGTCAAGCAGCCTCTAACCCACCTGCACTGTACTCTTGGTTTGTCAATGGAGAGCTCCTGTCATCCTCTCAAGAGCTCCTTATCCCCAACATCACTACTAAAAATAGTGGATCCTATACCTGCTTCGTCTATAACTCTGTCACTGGCCTCAGTAGGACCACAGTCAAGAACATTACAGTCCTTGGTAAGTGGATCTCTGAAATATCAGTGACAGGTTTGGAGTGGAGTCTTTGGCTTTCTGAGAAGACACAGAAGAATTTAATTTCCAGTCCATGTCTATGGGAACGATCAAAACTCCATTCTCCCTGGAGCACCCTGCTCCATTACTAGGTCTGATCTGCTGCTGCTCTGACTTCTTCTGGCTGATAGGGATGGAGCTTGGAGTGTGAGTAGGAGCTTCTCCCAGCCTTGGAAACCTCAGGTTGTGGGAGGGACTTTCTAGGGGAGGGAGAGCCTTAAGGTCAAGATTTCTTTCTGTCACTAATACAGGCCTTCCTGTCCCCTCCATTTTCTTCTTATGACCTCCATGACTTGGAGGAACACCCAGGGCTTTACTGTGCTCACATTCTTTTCCCCCAAATGTGAGGAGAAAACTCCCTCCCCACAGATGGGGACCAGCAGTTCAGAGCTCTGCTCCTGTCTCAGGGGTGACTGACTAAGCTCTGACTCCATGGGAGGGGACGAGAGGGTGGAGAAGGCAACTGGGACCCTGGTTCTGACTCAGGGTAAACCATATCACTGATGACTTGATGATGCTCTCTCTCCCTTACTCTTCTCAAGAATTAAAAGACAAATGTTGAGCTGGGCAGTAGTGGGGCATGCCTTTAATCCCAACCCTTGGGAGGCAGAGACATGAGGATCTCTGTGAGTTTAATGCCAGCCTAATCTACAAGAGCTATTTCCTGGTCATCTAGAACACAGAGAAACCCAGTCTAGGAAAACAAAAACAAAAAAAAAAGTCCACTGAGTGTGGTGGTACACACCCTTAATGCCAGTACTAAGGAGGGAGAGGCAGGTAAACAATATGAGTTCAAGGCCAACCTGGTCTACCCAGCTAATTCCAGGTCAGTCAAACCTACAAGTGAGACCCTCCCTCAACAAAAACAAAAAGAAAAAAGAAAGAAAAGAAAAATTTTAAAAAACAAAGTAATATAAAATGTCACTGATGTACATCAGAGCCCTTGATGTCAGGAACGGGAAAGTGGAAAGGTGGCCTTCAGGTTAGTTGGCTCTGAACTGTGTCTGGCCACCAGCACAGGAGGTGACCGCTGAGAACAGTGAAGTGCACTTGCTTGGAGAACAGAGACTCCTCTGTCGAGTCTCCATACAGAGGAATGCACAAAGAAAATGCCAGAGATATCTTTGGTGAGATCCAAGGATGGCAGATCCTAGTTCTAGCATTTGGGAGGCTGATGCAGCTGGATCTCTTTCAGTTTAAGGCCAGCCTGGTATACATAGCAAGTTCCAAGCTAGCCAGGACTGGAGAGTGAGACCCTGTCTCAAAAAGAAAAATCAGTATTGAGGATTAGATAGCGGCAAGCTGTGGTCAACTCTGTAGCCATTCATGTCTTCTCTGTGGTAATTAATCCATCTCCATGCACCAAAAAATAACATTCTCTTCTAACAGAAGTTCTTTTTATTCATTTATTTATTTTGGTATTTTGAGACAGGGTTTCTCTGTGTAACTTTGGTGCCTGCCAAGAATTCTCTCTGTAGACCAGGCTGGTTTTGAACTCACAGAGATTCACCTACCTCTGCCTCCTGAGTGCTGGGATTCAAGGTGTGCACCACCACCGTTCTCCTCAAATAGAAATTCCTTAATTTGGGATTTTTCCTGACCCGACGTATAGGCTTCAACACCTTTAAGATTAGCTGGGCCATCTGAACCCCATGACACATTATTTAATGAAAAAGAAACAGAAGGCTATTTTATAATGGAGGAACCTGACTGTTCACACTCACAGAAAGTGTGAGCAAGAATTTGCACAAAAATCTATGGGAAAAACATTGTCCCACTATGAGATTTGTGAACATGTGGGCTGAAGGTTCTCTTAGTATGGATCTTGCATGCATACCCTGAGTATGTGATCTGGGTAGGAGGAAGATTTAGTTCTCTCTTTACAGATTGTTTCTTGAACCCAAACATGCAATCTTCCAGGGGGCCATGTCATTCTGTGGGCCCTGTGAGCTGGCTGAGATCTCTGAGGATGAAGGACTCTCAACTGTCCCCTCCACTGTTTATCCACAGAGCCAGTGACTACACCCTCCATCCAGGTCAGCAACTCCACAGTCAAAGAACTTGACTCTGTGTTCCTGAACTGCTCCTCAAATAACACTGGGATCTCCATCCATTGGCTCTTCAATGGCCAGAGTCTTGGGCTCACAGATAGAACGAATCTGTCCCTGGACAACAGCACCCTCAGCATAGACCCTGTTAGGAGGGAGGATGCCGGGGTGTATCAGTGTGAGGTCTCCAATCCAGTCAGTTCTGAGAGGAGTGACCCCATCCAGCTGGATATAATAGGTGAGTGACCTCCCCTCCCTTCTTACCTCACAGTGTTGGGGGTGGGGCAATTTCTTTATGAGCAGTGTGCAAAATGGGTAAAAGTCACAGGAGAAAAACATGGCTCAAGATTCAAATACAGTCAGCTTATTGATGGATGCATGTTAATCTTGTTACAAACACCACACAAGCTGAGCACGGTGCTGCCTGCCTTGAACCCCAGCCAGCACACTTGAGGCAGAGACAGTTGGACGTCTATGAGTTTCAAACCTCCCTGGTCTTTGTAGTGAGTTCCAGGTAAACCAGGGCTGCAGAGTGAGACCCTGTCTCAGAAAATACGTATCAGTATGGAAGATTAGAGCAGAAGGCTGTGGTCAACACTGGGGCCATTCATGTCTTCTCTGTAGTATTTAATCCATCTCTGTGCAGTAGGAAATAAATTTCTTCTCAAACAGAATTTATTTATTTATTTGTTTATTTATTTATTTATTTTGGTTTTTCAAGACAGGGTTTCTCTGTGTAACTTTGGTGCCTGCCAAGAACTCTCTCTGTAGAACAGGCTGGTCTTGAACTCACAGTACTTCACTTGCCTCTGCCACCTGAGTGCTGGGGTTAAAGGCATGAGCCACCATTGCCTGGTGCAAATAGAAATTCCTTAGTTTGGGATTTCTCATGGCCCCAATGTGTAGGCTTCAATACCTTTAAGATTAGCTGGGCCTTCTGAACCCCATGACACATTATTTAATGAAAAAGAAACAGAAGGCTGTTTTATAATGAAGGAACCTGACTGTTCACACTCACAGAAAGTGTGAGCAAGAATTTGCACAAAAATCAATGGGGATAACATTCTGCCAACCGTGAGATTTGTGGTCATGTGGGCTGAAGGGACTCCTAGTGTGGAACATGCACACATACCCTGAGTCGAGGGTCAATGTGGGTGGTCTGGGTAGGAGGAAGAGTCAGCTCTCTTTACAGGTTGTATCTTGAACCCAAACATGCGATCTTCTAGGGCGCCATGTCATTCTGTGGGCCCTGTGAGCTGACTGAGATCTGAGGATGAAGGACTCTCAACTGTCCCCTCCACTGTTTATCCACAGTGCTAGTAACTACACCCTCCATTCAAGTCAGCAACACCACAGTCAAAGAACTGGACTCTGTGTCCCTGACCTGCTCTTCAAACGAGACCGGGATCTCCATCCATTGGCTCTTCAATGGCCAAAGTCTGGAGCTCACAGACAGAATGAAGCTGTCCCTGGACAACAGCACCCTCAGCATAGACCCTGTCAGGAGGGAAGATGCCGGGGAGTATCAGTGTGAGGTCTCTAATCCAGTCAGTTCTGAGAGGAGTGACCCCATCCAGCTAGCCATATTAGGTGAGTGATCTCCCCTCCCTTCTTACCCCATAGTGTTGTGTGTGGGGCAAATTCTTTATAAGCAGTGTGTAAAATGGGTAAAAGTTACCAGGAGAAAAACATGAAAATACCATCAGCTTAGTCATGGATATATGTATATCTCTTGATAAACCCCACACTAGCTGAGCACAGTGCTGCATGACCTGAATCCCAGCCAGCCCACCAGAGGCAGAGACAGGTGGATGTCTATGAGTCCCAACTTCCCTATTCATTGTAGTGAGTTTCAGGTTAGCCAGAATAGTGAGAATCTGTCTCCAAAAAAAAAATTAGTATTGAGGATTAGAGAGGAAGGCTGTGGTCAATACTGTGGCCATTCACATCTTCTCTGTGGCATTTAATTCATCTCTGTGCAGCAGGAAATATGTTTCTCTTGAACGAGAAATTCTTTTTATGTATCTATTTGGTTTTTAGAGACAGGATTTCTCTGTGTAACTTTGGTGCCTGCCAAGAATTCTCTGTAGACCAGGCTGGCCTTGAACTCACAGAGATCCACCTGCCTCTGCCTCCTGAGTCCTGGGATTAAAGGTGTATAGTTTTAGAAATTCCTTAGTTTGTGATTTTACCAGCCCTGAAGTGCAGGCTTCAACACCTTTAAGATTAGCTGGGCCATCTGAACCCCATGACACATTATTTAACAGAAGGCTGTTTTATAATGGAGGGAACTGACTGTTCACACTCACAGAAAGTGTGAGCAAGAATTTGCACATAAATCAATGGGAAAAGCATTCTCCCTCCATGAGATTTGTGGACATGTGGACTGAAGGGTCTCTTAGTGTAGATCCCGTACACATACCCTGAGTCAAGGGTCAATGTGGAGGTCTGGGTAGGCAGAAGATCCGGCTCTCTCTTTACAGGTTGTATCTTGAATCCAAACATGTGATCCATGTCATTCTGTGGGCCCTGTGAGCTGGCTGAGATCTCTGAGGATGAAGGATTCTCAACTGTCCCCTCCACTATTTATCCATAGAGCCAGTGACTACACCCTCCATCCAAATCAGAAACACCACAGTCAAAGAACTGGACTCTGTGTCCCTGAACTGCTCCTCAAATAACACTGGGATCTCCATCCATTGGCTCTTCAATGGCCAGAGTCTGGAGCTCACAGATAGAATGAAGCTGTCCCTGAACAACAGCAACCTCAGCATAGACCCTGTCAAGAGGCAGGATTCCGGGAAGTATCAGTGTGAGGTCTCTAATCCAGTCAGTTCTAAGAGGAGTGACCCCATCCAGCTGGATGTAATAGGTGAGTGACCTCCCCTCCCTTCTTTTTCTATAGTGTTGGGAGTGGGGCAAATTCTTTATCAGCAGTGTGCAAAATGTGTAAAAGTTATGAGAAGAAAAACATGATTAAAGATACAAATACAGTCAGTTTAGTGATGGATGCATGTTAATCTCATGATAAACACCACACAAGCTGAGAAAGGTGCTGCACACCTTGAACCCCAGCCAGTACACAGAGGCAAAAACAGGAGGATGTCTATGATCCCAACCGCCCTCTTCATTGTAGTGAGCTCCAGGTTAGTCAGGGCTGCATAATGAGGTACTATTGAGAGAGAGAGAGAGAGAGAGAGAGAGAGAGAGAGAGAGAGAGAGAGAGGAGCAGGAGGAATAGGAGCACAAGGCCTGCACAGGTTACATTGTGAGACCCTGTCAATGATAACAACAACAACAATACATTGATCAATACAGCAATAGAAATGCAAAGTGATTAAGAGTTTGGGGTCTGAATCAAGCACACAGTGAACCCTCAGAATGTAGTAAAATATTCATGTTACTCTACAACCCTCCCATTCATTCAAATCTTCTTTTGATTATTTCTTACTCTTTAATATGAACACTGTAGACAGACACTGGTCTTATTGTGTTAAGTAAGGGATAAGGACAGGAAGAAACAGTACTTTTCTCACTGTAGACATATTTTTTCCAAGTAGCTTACTTCCAAGGTTTGTCTGATCCATAAATGTAAAATCCACAGATAGCAAGGACCTGAATTGATTTGTGATACATTTGCATATTCATTCACTTTGTGTGCATGACCCACGCCCATGTGTGGAGGTCAGATGGTGATTTGTGGGAGCCAATTCTCCAGGGACTGAGAACTGAACTAAGGTGGCTGAACCTGTCCTTTATCTGCTAAGGCATTTCACTGGCCCAAATTTGTTTGTACATTTACTTATGTGTGACATTTGGAGTAGACACTCGGGCAGGGGGGAGTATGGCAGGCTCTCCCACCAGATGGCCCATCTTGTTAGCCCATATACTCAGTTTCTAATCCTCATGCTGACATTTACACCATGACCTCCTTGCACAAGACTCTTTTTCCGTTAATTTTTTTGGTGGTGTATAATATGTGTGTGTGTGTATACATATATATGTGTTTGTATCTGTATATATACATATATATGCATATACATGTATATATATATATATATGTACACACACATATATGGATTGGAGATTTGACTCAACAGTTAAGAGCACTAGCTGCCCTTTCAAAAGAAGGGTTCAATTCCCAGCACCCATATTGCAACTTATTACTGTCTATAACTGAGTTCCAAGAAATTCAATACCGTCTATTGTCCTCCTCAAGTACCAAGCGTACATGTGGTACAAGGACATACAGAGCAAAATACTCATTTATAGATATCATCTTTAATTTTTAGATCTGCCATTGTAAAAATCTGAAATGGGCAGCTCAGTGGCAGAAGGTGTATTCATATTGCTGTGTAAACACCAGCATTGTTCATTTACAAAACTTCTCATAATCTATCCCACCCTACAATCCAGGATGTAGTTACTGGGTTGGCAGAAGGTATATTCATATTGCTGTGTAAACACCATCATTGTCCATTTACAAAACTTCCTGTAATCTATCCCACTCCCTACAATCCTGGATGTAGTTACTGAGTTGGCATAAGGTATATTCACATTGCTGTGTAAACACCATGATTGTTTCCAAAACTTCTCGTAATCTATCCCACCCCTACAATCCTGGATTCAGTTACTGAGTTGAATGCAATTCTCTAATCTTTTGAGGGGCCACAGTGCCATGTCTCATGGTTACATTTAAGCCTCCTATTGAGCAATGCCCCAGAACTCTAATTTTTTTATATATTCCAAAGCTCTTGCTTCCTGTCTGTGATTTTAATGGTGTGCGTCCTAAGTGATGTGGGTGGTGCTTTATGGAGACATTGATTTCCCTTTGGTCAGGGACTGAGAAGTGAAGTGGGGCCACAGGTGACCACTTATTCATGGCTGCCACAGCTGAGACACAGCGAGGGTGGAGAGACACTTGCTAAGAGACCCTCACTTCAGCTCACACTTCACCTTCCCACAGAAAACACATTCCCCAAGAGGGTGAACAGAAATCATCTCATGCTAAGAATTCCCCGGGCACACCACTGGAAAACATTTTTACTTCACAACTTCTTGTCTTTTCCTTCCCTGACAGCTGACCCAACACAAGGGAGTCCTGGCCTTTCGGGGGATGCCACTGCCGGCATCTTCGTTGGATCTGTGACTTGGGTGACTCTGATAGCAGCCCTGGCATATTTCCTTTGTTTCTAGAAGAAATAGGGTAAGACAGTCTTTCCTCTTTTGTGTTCTCCAACTCTTAGTGTAATGCTTGGGAGTGGGCAAAGACTTCTCTCCCTCTGCCTCTGAACTGGATCTCTTTGCCCCTCTGTTAACTCTCTGCTTCTCAGCACTGATCCTGTGGTTTCAGCCTCCCTGTCTCCATGCTCCCTGTCCTCCTGTTTCTTGAAGTCCATTCCCAAATATATAGAGAACAGATTGAATTATACCCCTTTATTCTTCAGACAGGAAGCCAAGGTCCGAGAAGAAAGGAGAGTGAGGGAATCCAAGGAGCAGCAGGAAGATACAGGTGGCATGTCCCTCTGACTGCAGCAGCAGCGGGGGGGGGGCAGTTAGAAGGAGGAGGACCCTAAGACCAAGCAACAGAAGCATTAAAGAGCTCTTGGTCAAGAAAATGAGTAGAAAAAGCCCAGCAGTGGTTTAGCATGCCATTAATCCCAGTACTCGAGAGGTAGAGGTAGGCAAGATCTATTTGAGTTCAAGACCACTTTTTCTACAGAGCGGGTTCCAAGACAGCCAGGGATACACAGAGAAATTCTGCCTCTACCTTTCTTCTCCCCCCCCCCAAAAAAAAACAGAAAAAAAGAAGGAAAGGAAGAAGGGAGGGAGAGAGGGAGGGAAGGAGGGAAGGAAGGAAAGGAGGGAGGGAGGGAGAGAGAGAGAGAGAGAGAGAGAGAGAGATTGTGTGTGTTTGGAAAACTCCCCACTCTGTGCTTAATTCCTGACCACAATTCCTTGTATTCTATGGCCCTTGTCAAGGGACTTGAACGTTTTGATCCTCGGTCTTATCACCTGTGAAATGGGCATTCTGCCCACCTCAGAAAAGAGACTCAAGGGAATAAACGAGTTGACACATGCACAGCACTGTGCACACAGAGACAACAGCGCATCTTTCTCTTCCGATCTGAAACTGCTCTGACCATAAAAAGGATGGATTCCATTCTAATGGGTCTGAGACCCTGTTTCCACCTTATATAACAATTTTACCAAAATTTTATCATTTCAGCATTTCAACTAAGTACAGGCATTGACTGAAGAGTGCTTTTAAATCATAAGGACACTTTCACAGTGTGAACTCTCGCAGGTTGAACACACTCATAAGCAGCAGGCAAGCTAAGTTACTTCACAACTACCCCCACCGCGAAAACACACTTTGCAGTCACTTCCCAACAAATAGCAGTGGCAGCCAGGATGGTCCATACCCTCGCTCTCTGTTCTGTGGCCCATCTGGATGTCTTTGTTGATTCCTCCTCTGTCCCCACGGCTGTCTCACCCTCTTCCTCAACCTGTCTCCTCTAGTGACCACACATCAGACTGTCAGACAGTGAGTGACGGGTGTCCTCTCCCATGGCTCACCCGGCACAGAGGCCACAGCACAGTGGGGCTGGATCACCAGCAAGGTGAGGCTCTGCCCTGCGGGACTGATGTCACTGACCAACACTCATACTTTCAGGGGGATGACGTGGTATACACCATCCTGAACATCAACGGCCAGAAACCCAAACCACCAACTTCAGCCTCCCCATCTCTAAGAGCCACAGAAACAGTTTATTCAGAAGTAAAAAGGAAGTGATCATGGCCTGTCATGCTGGCTGCACCAATGATGTATTTCCAGACTCTCATCCTCACTAGGAGATCTCTGTACCATGAGATGAGAAAACACATGTGTGTATGCGCACACACACACACACACACAGCTCCAGGCGGCAGTCTCTTCAGTATCAATAGAAGGAACAATGTATTCTGGAGCCTACAGGAAACCCAACTTTTCTTGGAATTGAAACTTGGCTGAGAAAAGGGCATCAAAGCTGCCCACCCTTCACTCCCCTAGCCATGGCTTGTTTAAATTGACCTATTCAGAGCACAGTCATTCTCCCCAGCTCCAGTCCTGTCCTAGCACAGTCTGACTTGAATTCCCATAACCCTGGACGTCACCTAAGTGCTAATGCCAAAAAACAAAGGACAAGCAAGAAATGGGCATTCCTGTGTCTTTAAAGCCCAATGTGAAGCCATGGTACATGGGAAGATCAAGGCTCAGCCAGAGGTCTCAGGAAATCCCCACGCCGACAACCATCATGCTTTCCTGGCTGTGGCATCAGGGTCTCTGAATGTTGTGCATTTACACCTGAGCCCACCTCTGAGCCTTTCTCCAGAAAACCCACTCAAAGCAGCTAGCAAAGCTCTTCGGCAGCATCCACTGCCATTGCTAACACAGAGGGCAGTTGCAAAGACAGCATCTCTAGCCTCTACCAGGAAGGAGTCCAGAAAAGCAGGGCTGGTGAACTGACAGTCTCCTGGAATCTGAAAACAGAACAGAAAGATACCCTATGTGGAGCATTGAGACTGTTTCAAAAGAAGCCACGTTTGGAGGTACTGGAGTTTTCTTCTCTGTAAGACAACCCACTATTTGAATTTTTGTTAACTGCTGACTTTGCTCAGTGTGTGAGCTGATAGGTCTGCCTTAGGGGCAAGAAGCCACTGCACCTCTGGCTCCCTTGGCCAGGATCAAAAGGCGTCTCAAGCCCTTTTGATCAAGAGTTCCAAAGAAAAATGAATAAATGAATAACAAGGCAAGTCACTTGCAGAACCACTGCCTAGTGTCGAGTTAAGGCTCGTACTTTCAAGAATTTGTCAGAAAAGACTGATATTTCCTTTCTCCATATTTTCACCTTTATTGCTGGGACTGGCCAGAGCCTACACAATATTTCTCTGACACTCTGGGCTTTCTTGCTCTCTCCCTGGAGCTCGCCCACCCCTACCCTCTGCAGGCCGCCAGCTGAACTCTTACCTGACTCAAAGGCCAGCCATTCCTCCTCCACTCCAACCCCTCTCCAGGTTGATACAGAGATTTCCAGCTTGTCTGCCTTGCTGTTTTGCTTTTAAACTCTAACAAAAACTGTCCTCGGCTTCAACAACTAACAACAGGCTTTCGTCATTCCCACCCCGCTCCTGGAGATCCAGGACCAGCCTCCAACTACAGTGTTTCTGCAGTGTCTCGGCCTGTGCATAGTTTGCCCTTTCTTTGGATTCTCGTGTTGACTTTTTTTTTTTTGAGACAGAGTTTTAGCATGTAACCTGAACAGGCTTCAATATCACAATAACAGTTTCTACAATCTCCCTCCTGCTGAGATTACAGCTCAGGCCACCAGGCCCAGCGGCTTGTGCATTCCCTGACTGCCCTACACTCTCAGGAATCCTTAGCCCCTGCTATGGTGTGTCTGGTCCACCATACACAGGCACTCAAGATGAAGACATTGTTTACATCCTAGAGAGCAGTGCACTGGTGCTCCCCTGGGAATGTGGGACACTTGCAGAGGGTTCTTTCCCAGCCCTGGGCTTTCAACAGCCTCAGAAACCTACTTTTCCCACCTGGGATGAATCCCAGCAACAGGAGAAGGAAAGGCCAATGTGCTCTAAGGAATCCTCTCTTCAAGATGTACCCCCACCCCAAGACATTTATTCTGGAGTTCTTGTACTCAGGGATTTCTCTCAGGGACTTCCAGCCTGTGTATATTTTCCTTCATTAGTTCTATTCTGGGTTATTTAAATTTGCCTGGCTAACGCCAAATCCGAGTTATTTGTAAATTTCCCCTATGTTCATAATAATATATCACATAGCTGGGCGGTGGTGGCGCATGCCTTTAATCCCAGCACTCGGGAGGCAGAGGCAGGCGGATCTCTGTTCGAGGCTAGTCTGGTCTACAAGAGCTAGTTCCAGGACAGGAACCAAAAAGCTACGGAGAAACCCTGTCTCAAATATCCAAAAAATAAATAAAGAAATAAAGAAAAATAAGATATCACATATTTCTGATTCTACTTTGTGGGTTTTTCTCTATTTTGTTTGTTTCTGCTTTTGCCATGCTTAGGGTGGATGCTAGGGTCTTGCATGCACTAGGCAAATGTTCTACACTGAGATACATCCCTACCTGGTACCACGTAGACAATGTCTTCCTTACATGTAGAAAACGACAACTGCTGGATGGGGAGCCAGAGTGAGCCTACTGCTGAGTAGTGTACAGTAGCTCTCTGACGTAGTTGTCTAGGAATTAGCTAAATGCACTGCACATTTATTGACAAAGTATATGTGCAAGCAACAAGCCAAGCCCTGAGCTGCCCAGAAAGAGCTGTTTACAGTCCTCTAAGAGAGGAGGGATTACAGGAACAAAGAGCCTCTCTGACAGAGCGGTGAGTGCCTGCCTACCGGGCAGGCCTCAGGGTCCCCTGTAAGGCAGCCTGGGCACCTTCAGCTCCAACGCCAGGCTTCCTGTGGGCACCTGGATACCCCCTCCCCTTGCTCCATTCATCCATTTGGCCCTGGATCATTGGGCTACCAGCGGCCCTGTTTAGTTGCTGAGGAATCCCATCAGGACGGGTGAGTGTGTGCTATCCAGGGGCGGACTGTCCCGGAAGAGAGCACAAACCCCCCTCCCCCAGCTCCTTCTGCAGGGCTGTCTTTCTTTTGCACGACCCAGCCCCCCCAGCACCCCTCCCCAACCCTGCCCTGCTGTATGCTAGGACCAGTGCTCAAGAACAGTTTTAAGCTCCTACACTAAGGCTACCCACCCAGAGCGGTGAGTGCCTGCCTACCGGGCAGGCCTCAGGGTCCCCTGTAAGGGAGCCTGGGCACCTTCAGCTCCGGTGCCAGGCTTCCTGTGCTCTTCTGGATACCGGCCCACCCCCTTGCTCCATTCATCTTTTTGGCACTGGAGCATTGGGCTACCGGCAGCCCTGTTTAGTTGCTGAGGAATCCCATCTGGACGGGAACGGTTCATGCTTCTACACTGAAGAGATATACCCAGAGAGTCAATCACAGCAAAGACTGGACCAAGACACCAGGCCTCTCCTGGCTCCATTTGAAGGAAGAGATGGGAAGGCGCCAATGCAAGAATTCCTCCAACAACCTGAAAGACAACATGACACCACCAGAATCCAGGGATCCCGAAATAAGAAGAATTGTACACCCTACTCCAGAAGAAATAGAAGATATCGACTCAAAAGTGAACTATATGAAAATAATAGAGGACCTTAAACAGGAGGTGAAAAACTGCCATAAACAATTAGAGATTACAAACAAAAAGGTAGAGGAAATGAATAAATCGCTCAAAGACACGCAAGAAAACCAAGAGAAACAAGAAAAAGCAATCAAACAGGTTAGGGAAGCGGTTCAAGACTTGAAGAATGAAATGGAAGCAATGAAGAAAGCACAAACCGAGGGAAGAATTGAGATGGAAAATCTGGGTAAACGAACAGGAACTACAGAGACAAGTACTAACAACAAATTACAAGAGATAGAAGAAAGAATGTCAGACACTGAAGATACCATAGAGAAAATAAACACACTGATCAAAGAAAACAGCAAAACCAACAAATTCTCATCACAAAACATTCAGGAAATCTGGGACACAATAAAAAGACCAAACCTAAGAATAATTGGAGTAGAAGAAGGAGAAGAAGGGCAGCTCAACGGTACAGAAAATATACTTAATAAAATTATAGAAGAAAACTTTCCCAACCTGAAGAAAGATATACCTATGAAGGTTCAAGAAGCATTCAGAACACCAAATAGGCTGGATCAAAAAAAAAATCCCCTCGCCATATAATAATCAAAACACAAAATATACAGAATAAAGAAAGAATATTAAGAGCCGCAAAGGAAAAAGGCCAAGTTACTTATAAAGGTAAACCTATCAGACTTACGCCTGACTTCTCTATGGAAACCATGAAAGCCAGAAGGTCCTGGATAGATGTACTGCAAAAACTAAGAGATCATGGATGCAAGCCCAGACTACTATATCCAGCCAAGCTTTCGTTCACTATAAATTTTGTTTAATTTTCCAGGATAAAAACAAATTTAAACAATACGTAGCCACAAATCCAGCCTTACAGAAAATAATAGAAGGAAAATCACTAACCAAGGAGTCCAACAATGCCCACAATAACTCAGTCATCTAGAGACCCTTCACCAGCGCAACTCAAAGAAGGGAAACACACAAATCCTACTACTAAAAAAATGACAGGAGTTAACAACCACTGGTCATTAATATCACTTAATGTTAATGGGCTCAACTCACCTATAAAAAGGCACAGGCTAAGAGATTGGATACGAAAACAGGATCCAACATTCTGCTGTTTACAAGAAACACACCTCAACCACAAAGACAGGCACCTACTCAGAGTAAAGGGCTGGGAAAAGGCTTATCAAGCAAATGGACCTAAGAAACAAGCAGGTGTGCCCATACTAATTTCTAACAAAGTTGACTTCAAACTTAAAACAATCAGAAGAGATGGAGAGGGACATTTTATACTCATAACAGGAACAATTCATCAGGATGAAGTCTCAATCCTGAATATCTATGCCCCTAATATAAAAGCGCCCACGTACGTAAAAGAAACATTACTAAAACTCAAGGCAGCCATCAAACCACATACACTAATAGTAGGAGACTTCAACACTCCTCTCTCACCAATGGACAGGTCAATCAAACAGAAACCTAACAGGGAAATTAGAGAATTAATGGAGGTAATGAAGCAAATGGACTTAACAGACATCTATAGATTATTCCACCCAAATAGGAGAGAATATACCTTCTTCTCTGCAGCTCATGGAACTTTCTCGAAAATTGACCACATACTCAGTAGCAAAGCTAACTTACACAGTTACAAAAAAATATTAGTAACCACTTGTGTCTTATCAGATCACCATGGATTAAAGTTAGAATTCAACAACAATGCTACCCCCAGAAAGCCTACAAATTCATGGAAACTGAACAGTCAACTACTGAACCATACCTGGATTAAGGAAGAAATTAAAGTCTTCCTTGAATTCAATGAAAATAAAGAAACAACATACTCGAACTTATGGGACACTATGAAAGCAAGGCTAAGAGGAAAGTTCATCGCACTAAGTGCCCACTTAAAGAAAACAGAGAAAGCACAGATTGGAGACTTAACAGCCCACCTG